GGGCCAGTGGGGAGAGGAAAGGGTGAGGGTGGCAGGGAAGGGAAATGATCAACTGTGAAAAATAGATGGGTGGTGGCATTCAGCGTAGGATTAACAGCCACACAGAGTACAAGGGTTCCTGAGCTCAGCCCTGCATTTTATAATTACTGACACTTGATGCCAGAAAGGGAAAAAAGAAGAGACAGTGCCACACCCAAAACCATCCTTAATACTGCCCCGAAGCCACAAGGAAGGGAATGAAAAGGAACTCTGCATCGGAAAGAACCATCACAAGCCTAGCGGGGAACCCAGACCTTGGGTGGGAGATCCGCCGGCTCACCGAACGGGTGAGTGAGGCAGGTTGGCAGGTGTCATGGCCAGAAGCAAGGTCAGAGCTAAAGGGGAAAGGCAAGAGGACTGAAGTGTGGGAAAAGCGCGGACGGTAGAGACCAGCAGACGGGGTTCAGAGGTGGGCTCCACGCCCCAGGTCTGCTGCATAACCTCTCTGAGCCTCCCTCCTTTTCAGGATGACAGCGAGGATGGCCAGAGACCACACATGTGCCGGGCAGGTGGCTGGCCCACGGCAGACACTCCACCGCCACCACTGTTGTCACTGTTACCTGGGGCACAAGGGAGCTGTTGAGACGCAAGGGGAACAGTTCGCATTTTTTATGTGTTTACTTCCCTTGTCCTCCCAATTGCGGTCTTTCCTGCCCTCAGAAAGAACCAGGAAAGGGACAGATTCACGCCACAGTCCTCAGAGAAGGTACAAAGTAGAAGTGAGTCAGAGCCACATGTGTGATTAACCACACATCCCATTGAGCTCTGCCTGCCAAGACGCTTGGAGGCGAACTTCAAACTCATACCAACCACATTAGCCCGTGTGGCCAACTAAACTACACTTTTCTGACAAACTACACTTCCCTTCTGTCCTCATTTCACATTTCTGCTTACACTGTTGGTCTGTCTATTGTTGTAAGCCCATCCCAAATCCTTTTTTGGAATGAAGCAGAGAATAAGTAAAACGTGAAAGAATGGAGCGTTCTGAGCTCTCGGATGGGTGAGGACGAAGCTGTTAAACCTTGCCCCTCTCCCGTGACGATGGGTCCTCCCAGAGCCTCACTCCACCCCTAGGGCCAGTCACTGGCACGCCCATTAACTGTCAAAACAAACACATAATTTTAAACACCCGTATCTTTTATACACATACGTACAGCTAGCTAAGGGCTCTTCATAATGAGCAGGCAGTTAGACAGACCAGAAATAGAAAAGCACTGCCACAAAACAGAGCAGGTCACAGTGAAAATCAGCCGAGAGGAAACGGAGTTGCTGCCATTCCAGCACCTAATGAAAGCATGTTGCTGCGAGCTCGGCTCTGGTGGTGCTATAGCCCCTCTCAGGAGTCAGGAAACACCCAGAGGGACTCGGTGGGGGAGGGGGCCACGGGGGGGTGCGGGACGGCTCACCCCAAGGTAAAGGGCTCAGGGAGCTGGGTTCTACAGGATGAAGACGACGACACCGCCTCACTTATTCTAAAAGACAAAGAGGATCTCTCAGGGCCTCTGTCCTCTTCTGACCTCCCCTGTTGCCAGAGTCTTTTCCCAGTTTCCTGTTCACTTCCAGGACTGTTATTTCCAAAACCATTGATTACAAATGAGAGGTATGGTCTCAGATGAAAAACAGAACCAGAGGTCTGCGATGAGAACACAGCGGGGACGCGGAGGGCCAACCACACCCTGCGGCAGAGGCTCCGCACACACTGTTGCGCCAAGTGTGTTCTTGATGTTCGCTCCCTGCTGGACTACAGGACCGTTTATCCAACGTAAGTGCACCTGCTTCCCCAAGCCCTGCCGACCCACTGCGGTGACCACTTCCAGGGGTCGTCTGCCACCTCCTCCACACAGGAGGAGCCGCAGCCTCTCCTCTGCTGGGGAACCTGAAGGCACCTGGGAGGTGGCAGTTTGGTCAAACGTCACAGAAGGGATGACTCACAACAGATCTGAATGCTGATCCTGCACCAGTAACAAACAGGGAGGGGGGACAACTGACTTAGTAACTCCCTCACCTTTAAGGAGAACAAGGTGAAAACCACTGCTGGGTCACCGGGGTCAGAGGAATCAGGGCTTGGAGCCAGCAGGGCATTCCTTTCTAATTTATAAGCAACAACATTTATCATTTCATCTTGAAAAATATTTGCCCTTAATGATTGGTAGAGACATGCCAAAAGGCTGCCTCTCGTCCTTCCACAATTACCCTCAGAACAGACTGGCTGTGGTTTTTATATAATAGCATATTCCTAAAAATCAAGGTATCCATTTGGAATAGCAGAAAGAGTTGGGAGAGTCTGAGTTGGAGGAGGAAATAATCTTAGTTAGAAAAAACGTGTATGCTGTTAAGGTAAATTTTACGGGTAATTTGAATATTGGCAGGTTGAATTGTAGTTCTTCAACAACTTTGCTGAGATCGAACTCACACACCATAAAATTCATCCCTCTGAAGTAGAATTCAATGATTTTTAATATATTCACATTTATTGACAAGAATATTCATACCTGATCATGGAACTGTCACCACAATTTAACTTTAGAACATTTCTGTTCCCCCAGAAGAAACCACTCATGAGCAGTCGGCCCCCATTTCTCCCTTCTGCTCCTCAGCCCCAGACAACCAGCAGGTAACTTTCTGTCTCTGTACATGTATCTACTCCGGACAGTTCACATAAATGGAGTCACACAGTACGCGTGCTTTGTGTCTGTCTTCGTCCGCTCAGCAGAACGTTCTCAAGGTCCATCCACGTCGGGCGCGTATCACTGTTTCATTCCTTTTTAGTGCTGAGTCACAGCCTGCCGTACGGACACACGAACCGCATTTCACTCACCCGTTCATCAGCTGGTGGCCCTGAGGCCGTTCCCACGTATTAGCTGTTATGAATAATGCTGCCGTTTGTGTGGACCTGTTTCCCCTTCTCTCGGGTATCCACTTAGGAGTGGAATTGCTGGGTCATGTGGTCCGAGTGACTTCTCAAAGCTGTCTGCATGGCTGCATTAATGTGTGTCCACAGTCGTCCGTGAAGAAGGTGAGAGGTGCTGGCCATTTCTTCACCCCATCTACCATCCATAAACAAGCTCTCCTCCACTCTCTCTGACGGGGCCCCCTCCTCTGACAGCATCCCCGACACTCACTGCGCGCATGAGACACCCGGAGTCCGCGGAGCGGCAGGAGCTCGGCGCCCGAGGGGACTCCCGAAGAACACAGGCCCCGGCACCCCGTCCTCCTGCAGGACTGGCCCAGAGCCGTCTGATCCCTTGAAGTCCCCCAAAGAAGGGAAGAGGCAGTTCCCTCCGCTGCCCAGTCTCAGAAATACCTTCAAATCTCTAACCCCAGCTCATACATACACGCTGTGCAAGTACTGAAGGAAGGAAAACAACGTCCAGGTTTTAGAGACAGCCCCACCCCAGGCCCGCCTTCTTCACTCCCTCGCTGAACGCGCTGCGCTCGACGCCAGCGGACTCCACGCGCCTGGGCAGCGCCCATCCCCGCCTGACCGGCGAGTGCGGGGGTGGGAGGGCGTCTTCCTTGTGCCTCAACAGTCTGGTGGGAACCTGCTTTCAGAACCAGCAGCGGCACCGCACGACTTAACGTGCAGCTCCTGCAGCCTCGGTAACAGCCCAGCGCGCTTTCCTTCTCGGTGCCGAGCGAGCGCGTACGCGGACCGGATGCGCGATCACTGTGCTGTCAGCATGGCTCCCCGGGACCGCACCCCTCCCCCCTCCCCCCCTCCCCTCCCACCACAAGTCCTTCCCCGTAAGTTAGGAATTAAAGACGCCTCGCTGGGACAGAGAACTCTGACCTGAAACAGGGGCTGCAGCACAATGGCGAGCAACCAAGAGCGTTAGCAACAAATTTCCAGTGGGGCTGGAGCGGTTAGATGATTTGTCTCTGCAATGAGCCAACTCTGCACACTTTCACAAGATGAAAATCGGTTTGTTTTTCCTTCTGGACACCTTGCCTCTCCTACTGCTGCTCCCCCGAAATGAACAGGGTTATTAGGGCACAGAAACACATGGCTCTGGAAATTAACTTTCTTGACCAGAGGAGAGGCCACAGGTAAACCCCGTTCTGCACCGGTGCTTCTGCACTTCGCGGTGACCAGGATTTACTGCGGGTCCTCGCTCCCTGGAGGGAGAATACCTGAGGGGTAACACTTCTGACACAGATGCTTAGAAACAGAAAGAAAACCAACTGTGTTATCTTAAAAGCAGCAGGATGGCCATACCCCGCAACCCAGGTCATTGCTGAGCCACAAGAAAGAGGAAGCTGTTTCTCTCTTAAGGCAATGACCTTGGGCAAGTGAGTTATCTTTGAACCTGTCACCTGTAAAATGAGGATAATAATAGGACCTCATGGAGAAAGAGTGTGAGCGCTTCACAGTCTGAGGACAGAGTAAACGCTGAGTCACTGTGCGCTGCAGTCACCACCACCACCAAGACCACCGTCTCTGAGAAGCTGCCTGGGTGGCGTAAGGAGCCGCGCACCCGCAGGGCTTTCCTGCAGGCACAAGGTGCTGCCACTCTGACTGCAGAGTGTTTGCATCTCCCCAGACTCATCCTGCAGGAGCAATACATTCACAAGACAAAGCGAAGAAGGAAGAAAGACAAGGACAGGAGGAGACGGGAAAGGCATTTTACAGTAACAGAGAAAAGACACTTTATTTTGCTTTTTCACAGCCATGGTAAAAGATGAAATTCTTAAGAACATTCTTTCCACTATGGGGGCCCAGGAAAGTTGGAGAGCTGAGAAGCCTCTCTGGACAGGGGTCCGAGAGTTGCCCAGTACAAACCGCAATCCCTCTGGCTTATCTGGAATCCGTCTCTCTCGAGTGTACAGTTATGCCCTCCTCCCCACTTATGTTCATACGTGAGCATCCTCGTTAAACCCAGAAAGAAAAGGACTCCTTATCCAGAAAAGCATCTTCACAAATTCAGAGGGGCAGTGGGCAGGAAGCTGGCAGCTGTGCTTACCTCCCTCTGCGGCTGGCCGGGCCCCGGGTCGGCAGCCCGGAGGTTCAGGACGTGCACCTCCTGCGGCAGCCCGACCGTGCCCCTGCTGGCGCACCCCGACAAGGCCGTGAAGCTCTCCATCAAGGCCTGGACCGGGTGGGAGGCGTTGACGGGCGACAGCTCGCACTGGGCCCTGGGCTCCGGACCTGCAGAGGGAATCACAAACACACTCCTCAGGAGCAGCAGTTAATGGCGCTACCACTAAACTAATTGTTCTGCGTGATGCAGCCACTGCCGGCCCACCAGAGCTGCCTTTCCAGGTAAGCTGCTTCCGAAACTAAACGGCAAAAATGCTGGTCTGTTCTTCTAAAACCCCAACCTCTTAAATTCCTTTTGGATGATTTTGATGTGTATCTGATCATTTAAATTCCCTTTTAGATACACAGTCACAAATGCATTCCTCTGGATGGAGGAAGCCTCCCATTTCACATCTGTGTTCAATTCTTCCTTCCCTTCTTAGAAGAAAACCAGAGATAAATGGAATAAACTGTGTAAAGCCCCAATAATATTATGCATAAATAATATTAAACGCCTAAAGTTGCACCAAAAAAAGTGTAAGATGCAGATCCTACTTTTTAAGTGCTTCCCCTTCCTAGGGAAAGAAAAACAAACTTAAGAACATACAAAAGCAAGATGGACTGAGCAGAGGCAACTGGGGCCAGAGTTGTACAGCAAAGTTTGGGAGAGGTCAGAAAGATCCTCCCAAGAGAGGCAGGATGTGTGCAGAGCCTCAGATGGAAGAAGTAGACCCCCGGTCTCACGTGGCTCCTGCTTCCTTGTTCTCCCTCTAATCAATCAGAACTTCAAGCCAAAATCCATCCACTCCTCCCCACCTCTACGTCCTGTAGCCTTCACTGGCTCTGTCCCTAGACAATTGCTGATCTTCCTAAGAGGAGCCTCTGGTCTCATGAGGTCAAAGCCAGCTTCCATACCAGCACGGTCCACCTAGGCCAGGGTGGTCCTCCACTGAATGGGCGATCCAAAGGCAAAGATCTCTCCTCCCATCTCTGCAGGCTTGTCCTGTCCCTTGAGAGCTACTGGCCTGTGAATAAAGCCTGAGCTCCTTCCTTCCCCTGCACACAAGACCTCTCGTGATCTGGTCCCTTCCTATCTCTCCAGCCTTACCCCTCCCCTCTCTGGCAACCCCAAGTGGCTTAAAGGTCTCCAAACATACTAGGATGTTTCTCAGCTCCATGTCTTTACTCAAGCTTTTTCCTTTATCCACATTCCTCTTCCATTCTATCTCCAACCCCACAACTCACATCCCAAGTTAAGGAAGGTGCGCTTCCTCTGGGCTCCCATAATCTCTCTGCCCATGTCCGCTGTTTCATTCTCTGCGCTATAACCAGAGCATATACGTCTGTCTTTGCCAACCCAGGGTGACCTCCTGACATCTGTGGGTTACTTTATTTGTATCCTCAGCACCCATCACAGTGCCTCACATGTAGGAAGTGCTCAAAAAACATTTATTAAATGAATCATTGTGCTTAAAAAAGACTGCGCCCCTTCTGGGGACTTGGATTTGGCTGTGAGGAACTAAATGGGAAACAAATTGCTACAGTGGTGTGGGGGACGTTAGCTGAGCTGGCAGGGAGGAACACCAAGGAGCAAGAAGGAACCAGTGACACTTGAAGCTCATACCCTCTGTCAGCTCGATGTGGTCCCCATATCATAGCTGTGGAGAGAGGGAAAAGAACACACAGCATCCTCGACCACAGCCTTTCGAAGGGAACTTGATAAAAGGCCTGAAAGTACTCCAGTGAGGTCTTCCTGACTTCAACATAATAAAAATACTCTCCAGGATAACAGCCCGGTCTAAAATGCAAACACAGTTCAAAAATGGGCAATCCTGCATCTCCATGGCTGTACTGTAAGCAGACACCCTGCCTGGCGTGCCAAGTCTATTTCAGAACTCACAGAAATTATCTAGGCTGATAAGAGTTATCAGGTCTGAAATGAAGTATGTACCTTCTCAAATAATCACTGCCTCCCTCTGGACTGCTCTCCTGTGCCCAGCTGCTTTCTGAGAAAGAGAGGTGGTGAAGGAAGATGTCACGGCCGCGATGTCAGGAGGTACTGGACGTCAATTCCTTGAAGTCCCCGAGCAGGGCAAACAGTATGAGCAGGTGCCCCAGGCCCTCACCAGCCGCGGTGGGATGTCTGGTATGTTTCACGCCTCAGCGCTCCAGGAAAAGTCTCCTGCTCAACCCTGGGGACTCATGGCGGCTACTGCTACCCCCACTGGAAAACACTTCTGGATTGGTTTCACAGCCTCCTGCCATGAATTTGCCATTGTCACAAATTCAGCACAAATAAAAATACTTTGTTCCATTTTTGTATATGTGTGCAAAGCTCCAACTATAGTTCCACCCAAAACACACTGCAAAAGGCTTGCCATCTGCTCGACTTGCCCTGCTCATTCCATGCACCATCACCCATCACCCACGTGCCACCATCACCCATCAGGGTCTCCCTCAAGTCAGTACACTGCTCATCTCTACACTGGGCAAGAGCAAAAACCCACAGACAACAAATCAGAGGACAAACTCTTACCCAAAGAGGAGGGAATAAGAGAGGGGATGCCCCCTGCACTGAGGACAAGTAATCCTTGCCTTAAGAGTCTCTGTTCTCTGTCCTACCAGAGTCCAAGATAGGGCAGACCTCCTCTTCCTGGGCTGCAGCTCCAGCCATGAGTCATATAAGCCAGTCCAAGGCCAAGGAAAGGAAGCAGTGCACAGAGACCCCCCGGGGTCAGTGTCTAAACATGCTCAGTGTCCCCGACCTTCGGAAACACTAGAGTGTGTTGGCTTTTGAGGTTTCTTAATGAATTATTTTTCCTCCAAGTTTAAAAAAGAAAGAAGTTACAACACATGATCAACATATCCTCAAGCCAAAAAGACCGAAAAGGAAAGAGGGAACGAAAGAAGCAAGGGAGGGAGGGAGGGGAAGAAAGAGAGAGAGAGAAGGAAGGAAAAGAGAAAAGAAAAGAAGGAAATCAGGAACTATTCACCCCATCCCTCAAGGGTATATAAGAAACGGTGCCTTCAACAGGTCAGCACACAATCTGGTCTAGTAAGTAAGCAAACAGCTTCCATTAAGTGCTCAGTGCAGTGCATCCTTCCAACACTACCATACGGAGGTGGTACTATCCCCATTTTAAAGAACAGGAAAGTAAGTTCAGTGGTCTTAAGTAACTCGTCTAAGGTCGCCCCAGTCATCCAAGGCCTCAGACTCAGACCTACCCCCAGGGCTACCATCTCTATATGGTGAAATTTTTCACTAAAAAATATTGGGCCCAGGTGGGTTCACTGGTGCATTCTACCAAACATTTAAGGAAGAAACTATACCAACTCTCTAGAATCTCTTTTAGAAGACAGAAGCCGAGGGAATACTTCCTAACTCATCCTAACTTATTACCCTTAATGCCAAAGCCAGACAAAGGCACTGTAAGAAAAGAGAACTACAGACCAGTATCTCTCATGACCACAGATGCAAAAACCCTCGACAGAATAGTAGCAAACTGAATCCAACAAAGAACTCTACACCACAACCAAGTGGGATTTATCCCAGGTATGCAACAGTCAAAAATCAATTAATATCATCCACCTCACCCGCTGATTAAAGAAAAACGAGAAGAAAAATCATATGATCATATCAACAGAAGCAGAAAAAGCACTTTACAAAATCTAACAGCCATTAATGACAAATAAAAACTCTCGGCAAGTTAGGAATAGATGGCAACTTCCTTAACTGGATGAAGAACGTGTACAAAAAACCTGCAGCTTATGTCATACTTCATGGTGAAAAACTAAAAGCTTCCTCACTAAGATCAAGGGCAAAGCAAGGATGTCCCCTCTCACCACTCCTTTACAACACTGTACTGGAAGTCCTAGGTAATGCTTACAGTTAGGTATGGTCATGTGACCAAATTCTGGTTAATAAGATATAACCAGAGGTGATATACACAATTTCTAAGAAGTTTTTTAAGAAGAGAAAGAGTTGTGTTCTGCCCTTTCCTCCTTCCTGCTGGCTGGAATACAGATGTGATGGACAGAGCTAGCAGCCATCTAGGGCCAAGAGGGAAGCAACACGCTGAGTCAGGCACAGCAGTACGACCGAAGTTGCCTGGGTCATCGATGAACATGGAGCTGTTGGATCAGCTCTGGACTGCCTTTTTTTTTTAATATGAAACACATATCACTTTTCTCTTATTATCAAGCCAATATTATGTGGGGTTTTCTGACACTTACAGCTTAACTAACCTTAATTAATACACTGGCTTTATTTTGCTTCATCAGAAGTGCCAACCTTCTTCCCACCAGGGCCTGCACACACAAGGGTTCTTGCAGCAGCACCTTCCCCACCATCCCTCTTCCTTTCCTCTGCCTTGGTGTGATGAACTCCTACTCATTCTTCAGATTGCTCAGGGAAGCTTTCTTCCTTTACCACATTAGATACACATTTCTTAGATACTCTCGTGGTACTCTCTCTGTCTCTTCCTTGCACTTCATGTGGCTACACTTGGATAATTATTTGTGCATTATTTGTTGAGTGTCTGCTGCAAACACCACCTAAGAATGGAACACAGTCCCTCTGTTTACCGCTGCATCTCTTATCCCAGCATAACGTCTGGCACACAGTAGGCAAGCAGATACTGATGAGGGAAGGGGGTAGGAGAGGAAAAGGGAGAGAACCATGAAGTGTTCCACGCTCAAAGGATTTCATACCAGCAGGAGACTCTCAGAGTTCTTCCTTTGACTCTTTACCTAGTCGCCAAAGCCTCGATCTTATACTAAAGGGGAAAAAATCATCATGAGCTGAAGGAAGTGGCATTCTGGTCGCTAATAAGCCCTGTCAGGGCTTCCCCACCCTCAAATGTCACAGACGCAGGAAACCAAACCTGTTTTTTGCCCCCTTGTCCCAGATGCTCCCCCCATAAGCACATAAGCACAGCACACGCCTGCCTCACCCCGCCACCTCCTGGGCCAGCCCTGGGCCTTCCTGCCCCTCCTGCAGACAGCCTGCCCCCCTGAGCTGCCTCCCATCCCTCCCCGCTGGCCTCACAGTGCTTTCTGCGCAGTCTGCTCACCCAGTGCCGGACCCACCTCCAGGCAGAAGAGCCTCCACCTGGGAAGAGGGTGACCCT